TATGGAGAAATTTTGACGTGCAAATGAATAATGTTTAGTATTCCAAGATGTATAGTTTAAATGTTAAATATTTCCTATCATTCTAAATAAATGCTTGGATTCAAATGAAGGGCTAATATTATAAGCAAAGATGGATGATGGCTAGTAGTGGAATCCAGGATGTGCATATCGTCCTATTCTGGACTCGTCAGCTTGACTTACCAATAAGAGACTGATCAGTTACAGTGCTGAACATCAATGGAAAGATCCAAACAAACAATAGAAAATGAAGTTAAACTTCACCCGGTCGCATAAGTTAGTAACTATCAGAACTCAGTAGCTAAGTGAACAACGCGATGGTGTTTGATCCGAATAGTACTGTGTTCGAGTCCCGAAGTGAGTTCCAAATAGGGAAAGACGCACGTCCTGGACTCCACCAACAGCCATCATCCATCACTTCTTATAATGCTTGTGATTCAAGGCAATATCGAAGCAATCCACACAGGACGCATATATGCCAATGAGAGACTAATTAACTGCAGCCGTAAGCGTCAATGGGAATATTCAAACAACAAATACAAAATGAAGTGACAATATTGTTAGATAAAATATAAATAAATGCTTCTCACTTAAACGATTCTACTTAAAAAGCCCTATACCATTCCAAAATAATCTACATCAATACTTTTTTAAAATAACTCAAAGAGAGTTCTTAATAGAAAAGTTGGTTTGTGTTTAGTTGTGAGATTTATCAAGTACTATTCGTTTTGTTTAGGATTAGATGCATCTATATCACAGTGTTGATATTTACTCAGAAACGTGAATACAATGCCTACCGTTTTAAACACCTAAGAGTTATTCTTTAAACAACTGGATCTATATAGTTATTAATTTTGCTCAACTGGTATAAAGTTATCAAACAGTGTTTATCATCTACCTTTGTTATTATTTAGGACTATGACTAATCAATCTTCAATGGCATATATACATCATTAGAGGATTGATTCAGTGGTGATGTTTACTTACAAGATTTTCATTGAAGTTCAGTTCGAGGTAACGCACATTCTGAATTCCACTACTTACCACATTCCAACTTTGAGCAAAACCAATGGGGAATCCTAGACTAACAAATAGTGCTATGAAAGCAAAATTTTGCACTGTCCTTTTTAAAACATTTATATATCAGTGAAACTGTATTGGTTCATTTTATTCTGTTTATATATATATACATCAGTGGTGTAGTAATTGGCTCTGTTTACATAGCTCGTTACATCTATAAATTTGAGTTGAAATTCATTAGTTTACCTTTCCAATTTAATTAAGAAATAATCTACATAAACCTGTTATTATATTAGATGTCCACTAGACTTATTTTCTCATCACGATAGGGATTTACATTTTCAAAAAAAAAGTAAAAAATAATTTACAGATGTACTTTTTTATTTTTTCTTGAAACTTATCTAACGAGATCATTGACTTCTCATCTGTAATATCCCGCTGAAATTGATTATTACTATTATTATAAACTTTTTCTCTTAAAGTGATTTTGATAACTTACCTCTTTTATCAAAATGGGATAAATTAATGTTTTTAATTTACAAGAAAAGTTGAAATTTCTGCAAAGTAATCGTGATAGTAGTTTAATAAAATCGTTTTTTAGACAATATGATAACATTAATCGGTTTTGTGTTGGTTGTTTAAATCTTTTCATTGATGTTTAGGACTGTGATTGATCAGTCTCTTTATTGAAATATATGAGATCTGTGTAGATTGCTTCGATATTACTTTGAATCACAAGCAGTGGAATCCAGGACGCGCGTTTTGTTTTACCTGGGATTCGCCAGCTAGATATGCTTGCAGTCTAGATTTGATGTTCACTTCGGGTTAGGGTGAAGAGAATGGTACTTAGTTCGAGTCCTGGAGTAAACATCAACTCTGGGATACAAGTACATCCACTAGACCCCTGAGCCGGCATCCAACAATGTTTATGTCTAACTTCAATCGATCCATGAATGGTTGTGCAACCATTCATTCATTGTCTGAGGTAGATTCCAGTCTCTATCCGACAGGTATTGGACTCCACTTGTCTTGTGAATGCTCACTACTGAGAAGTTCTATACTTGGGAGAAACGGCCGTCCATTGCTTCCAGGTTTTCAATGGTGGTTTAACATTGATTTATTCATGAAACACTGATTAGTTGAAATTCAACTGAACACCTTTTCATCAATCAAGTATAAATTAACTTTTTATCACTCAAAGAAACCTGTGTTTTTATTATATTAAATCCAATGTATTTTCTTTTAATGTAAGTACTTTTCTAGTATCCGTTTCTTTTGAAATTCTCATTTGGAAAAAAACATCAAACAGTCTATTACATTTACATTAGAAGGGATATATAATGATAAACGTTTTCTTTTTTTAAAAAAAAAGGGGTAATTGGTGTTGAAGAGTCTAGATTGTTATCAAATATATGTATAAATATATATCTATGTCTTTAATAAAATACACAAACTATCTACTTATGCTTACTTTTAAATATTCCCTAGGGTTAAACAGTTCAAAGTAAGGAGAAAGAAACAAGAGAAATTTTATCTATACGGATAGACAAAATAAAACAAAATCTTCACTTTTCTTTTTTTTCTTCTTCATCAAATAACACAAAGCAGTAGGAATTCAAAGGTAAAAAATTCTCTTCTTTCATTTCTTCTTCTTCTTCTTCATAAACAAGGGAAATAAATTATTAAAGGATACTTTTTTTTCCCGAACAGGTTAAATAAATGTGATTTGTTAACAGGCAACAATAGAGTATGAAAACTAAGAAAGAAAAAAAACAACACAGCTGACCGATAAACAGACAAATAATCAAAGTTGGATTTGAAATTTAATACAAATCTGTGAAATTTAATTAAGTTGAAAATGATTTCATTTCATTGCTTGTTTATCCATACACCATCACATTAGAACAAGAGGTTTATATAGAAATCGCTAATCAAAAAGAAATAAGGATGAATAATGTAATTAAGAATGATTTATTATTGAAATGTTTAATGAAGTTTAGTTAAAGTCTTAGATGTTATCTACAACAGTATGCTAAAGTTATGATGTCAATGAAAATCAAGGATCACTTGATAGTTGCATGGGATTCATTGGTAGTAAACACTTACAACTCCGACAGTGATAGAACTTGGGATTTTAATATCTGGCGACTAGTGAATAATTAATTCATGGATGAGACTGTTGGAACTCAGTTATTTCAGGAGTAGGAGATCAACCACCAGCAGTACTGAATGATCATCACTCGATATATATAGTTGATTGAAGTTTAAACTATGAAGCGAGGGTTTTCGACGGATTAACTTGATGGTTGAAGCTTTAAACGGTAAAGCCTTAAACTTTTAGATTTCATCCACATTAAGGTGGTGGTTGTGAGCTACTAATAAACTTCATACAGTTGTCCAGTGATTTTTGGTTTTTATTGAAAACCTAATTGATCACAGTTTGTGATGAATACCATATAGAAATCACTTTTCCATAATTCCTTCTTTTGTTCATTTCGTAGAAAACTACAGAAGTAATAAGTGCTGATTAATGTTTCGAAGGAATGTTATTATAACTTAATGCTTAAAAGTCCTGGTTACCTATTTATTTCATCTTTATGTTAGCATAGTGATTTAAGTGTATGGCATTAGCTCCTGAAAACCATCACTGTTTTCATGAACATTTAGCTAAAGAAAGACTAGTTTCTTCATGACATGCTCAGTTATTTGAAATTTCATTATTATTATAAAAATAAGTTTAAGTAGTTTTCATGGTTATGAGTGAAATCTAAGACACTCGTTTCATTCTATTTGGGACTCGTCCGTTAAATCCATCTGAGTTCCAGAGTAAATATTCATTCCGCTATTCGAACTCAGTACCTTTCATTCCAAACAATAATGTGTTATCTATTTATCTACTGATTTCGGATAGTCACTTAGTCAATTGCAAGGAATATGAACTTTAGTTTCATCAATAATGATTTGACTTATCGAGTTGTTGATATTCTAACTGAATTTTGATCAAATTCCAAACAAGAATGATCGAAATTCAATGAAAATATCAATAAAGGGATGATCCAAAACATTACAATTTATTATGATTGTATAAACTGTCTTAGAAAATATCGCAGTGGGATTTTCTAATAATAATCATTAATCAATTTTTTGCCTAATAATAATAATAATAATAATAATAATAATAATCACAATCATGTTATCTAATGCTCAACGTTGGTTGAATTCTAGTTTATTATTTATAATCATTAATCTAAATAAAGCTATGCGCTTTATCTTGAGTTTAAATAGTTGAGAAAGATTCTCTGTAAACATTTGATCTAGGCCTGATGATAGTTCACACTAATCGACAAGCAACATCTGTAAAGTTTATAAAACTAGTGTTTCCAATACCATTTAAAGTGTTACAATCGCATCATACAACATAAATAACATAGTATCTCTTAAGTCAGACGAACTGTATCAGACTGAATACGAAATTTTTAGGTCTTTCATTAAATATGATATTATTAGGATTAAAAAATGGACAATATTTTGCGACTTTACTTGCAGTCGAATTAAGCCATACATTAAGAAAACAAAACAACAACAAATATTTGGATTATTAACAATAAATTTAATGAAAATGACTGTACAATTTAACCTATAAAGTTAGTATTCCTTCTTTCTTTCTCTCTTTTATTCTAAATTAGACAACAATAAAAGAAACTTATTAAATAGGTATATATATGTATATGTATATGTTGATTTCGGAATGTTTATATTTGTATAAAGTTTTAATCATCCATTCTTTACAACTTTCATAAAATCAAAACAAAACAAAACAAAAAGAAGTAAAATAGAAACCCAACTAGTTGAATGAAATGGAAACAAAAAAATTAGGAGTTACAAAATTAAAAAAAAAAACAAAACTAAACAACATTTCATGTATACAACATAATGATAATGATGGTTAAATATGTAGATCTATTTATTTGTTTCTTTAATAAAAGAGAAAGAGACGAGGGAGGTAGGGAGGGAGGGAGGGAGGGAGGGAAAATAAACTGACAAATTTTTCATTATATCACTATGATATAATTATTATTTATTATTACTATTGAATTTTCTCTATTTCAAATTAAACTATGTTAGTGAACTAAGTAAATTCTCTACTGAATAAGGTAATAATTTTTCATCATTATTACCATGTATATTGTTTGGGCTAGATGAAGAATAATTTTTAGGATTTATTGTATCACAGTCATTATTATTATTATCATTAATACTATTGTCAGTACCATTATTATTATTATTATTATTATTATTATTATTATTGTCAATACTACTATTGTTATGATTATGATTATTATTATTGTTATTAGTGTTGTTAGTGTTGATTATTTTAGATAAATTTAAACCATTGAAATGATGAAATGAATCAATTAGATCAGATGAATTTGAATAATTCTGTAAATGAATTGATGTAGGACTAGAAAGTATATTTGGTAAAGGTGAAATAGACGATGATGATGATGTTGATGATGATGAATTTAATATAATTTTATTATCATAATGTAAATTATGTGATTTTTTCTGATTTTCTTGAATGTGATGAATAGATATATGAGAAGTTTGTCTATTTTCTAATGTATAATTTTTTTTACATAAATCTATTGTACCATGTTGTGTTTCAATATGACGTCTTAAATCAACTTTACGTTGAAATGCACGTAAACAATGAAAACAAGAGAATGGTTTAAAACCAGTATGTTTACGTGAATGTGTAATTAAATTGGATGATTGACTAAATGCTTTACCGCATTGTAAACAAATATAAGGTTTTTCACCTAAATTTTTAAAAAGAAATACAAAAAAAATTAAATATCTAAATAAATTTATGTTAGAAATCAGTTTTGAATAGATTAATAAGTTCCATTATTATTGGGAAACTTAATAGTAACATTTTGTTAAACAAAAAAATAAACGAACAAATCTTGTGGGGGGCGGGATCGTGGATGCGTATTGCTGAGGCGTCCGATGCTAGGACGAAACGGCCATTCAGTGCTTTTAGGTTTTTTTATGGTGACCTAGCTTCAGTTAACTCATGAATTCAACTATGAAACCATAAAAGACTTTAGACTATCTTTCCATATAAATTTGAAAATGTTCTAAATGAACTGTAAGACAGTTACTATTATAAATTGACCAAATTTATAGTCAGCAGATAAAAATTTTGTTGTTTAAATGAAGTGTTCACTTCACCAACATCGGAAGTTTGGAAGCACTGAACGGCCATCTCGTTTGATTACAGGACTTATTATCTAAGGCGATTGCGTGATTTAGGCTGTGAAAGTATTACAACCTCCACAACTCTTCTGTACTAATAATGATGATATGCTCATTAATGACTATATTCAAGATGTCTCTCGGAATTTTGATGAGTAATGGAGTTCTATCTGTGTCGGGTGTGTGACAGTTATACACTACATGAATTGGTTGAAGCTAGATAATAACACTATTAGACGATAGTCCAGTGGTGTGTGGATTAAACATTCGCAGGAGAGACTGGTGTTGGGTACGATTCATGTTTAGGGGTCGTAGATGCGCACCGCTGAAGAGACCCACTCTGGGACGAAACGACCATCCGGTGGTTTCAAGTTTTCAATAGTTGTCGAACTAATATCAGCCCGTAATTTATAATGTGAAAGGATTTCTTATTATTAAACCTGAAAATACTTTTAAAAGTATTTATCATTTTAATGAACATAATTTAATATGGACATCTTTTCCAGTCACTTTTCGATTACAATTAGTTCAAATGAAATTTAACATGAAGGTAATTCATTGTACATCACTGATTCCATATATTGCAGTAAGAGTGATATAATTAGCTACTTTTTGGATCATTAATTTTGATATACGATTATAGAACCTGAAGAGAATTGATTGAGAACAATATTCATTGTGTTTTTGATATGACTGGAGCTTTTAAGCAGTTCACATGCATAATTCTCAAATCAATGGTAATTAGTTATCATTATTTCAAATCCAAACATCTTTTTAATTATTCTTTTCTTATTTAAGTAAACTGAATCCTATGAACTGATTGTTTGGTAATCAGAATGCGTTACAAGTTATAATTCATGATAACAAAAACAGCTGATCTTATGTTGTAGTTTGCTTATAGAAATCGATATAACTTTACATAAACCAACAAGTTCCTACGAATTATTAGTAAGTGACCGCTAACGATAAAGTGATTTATAGTTATAATTATTGAGAACCAGTTATTCAACTGATTATTTAATTTGTATTAACGTCTTAATTATTCTAAGAGTGAAGATTGAGAAAACGAATATTTCAAAACAGACAAGTTAGAAAAAGAAAAAATAAGTTCAAGTCACATTAAACTAACTCATTTCTTACAGTATTTCTATGTGCTAGTAATATTTCATTGATAACATAACTCATGTATCAATTCCCTGCTTATAAATTCAACTTGCTGTAATATTGTTTGTCTCAGAGCCAGTAATACTACCCAGTTGCTCGAAACAGAAATAGATACAGGGTAAATCGAATGTATGACTGACAATGAGTATTTTAATTACTAAACTACCTCTGATGAGTACATCTGCCTGCCAAGTTACTTTGGAGAATACTGATATATCTACTGTTTGATATGATGATAGTAATATAAAGATTTAGGTTTAGCAACTTCTTACAGGTCTAATAATCTTTCATTAGATACACTGGAACACAAATGGTAGTATTCGATCATTTTTCAACATTATTTAAAAAATTCTAATAAGAATTAGAAAGAAACCTATGAGACTCAATAGTCCTTAACAGTTAGCTCATGATCAAATCAAAAATGAATATAGTTTCAAGTAGTTGATAACAATATATATATGAAGGGTATTTTGCAAGTACACAGTGTCAAAATATTATTTACTTACCAGTATGTGTATAAGTATGCTTTTTCATATCAGATTTTTGATGAAAACGTTTACCACAATATTGACATGGATAAGGACGTGTATCACTATGTATTAATAAATGTGTACTCAATGTAGATGAACGTTTAAATGTTTTACCACATTGAGAACATTGAAATTGTCTATCTTGACAATGTACACTTTCATGTTGATATAAACTTGTAGCATGACCAAATGTTTTCTGACATAATTGACATTCAAATGGACGTTTACCATTATTATGTGCTCTGTTTGATCAAATGAAAGTAAGAAAATCAGTAAATGATACTTGCAAGTCAGTCAGTCAATACATGAAATAGAAAAATAAAAAAACGTATCATTTATGTTAAATTTCTTACTTATGACTTTCATTGAAGTAGTCTGATGTTTGAAGAAACTAAGGTTTGGTTAAATTAAGTATAATTCTAACAAACGAATTTGACACATTTACTTGAACTGTATGAATTAATTTTCTGCTTTTTTGACATTTTCCCCTCTGAATAATCTAAAAGTTTTGTTGGTTGCAGACTGATCACAGATTAATTTCTATTGAAGTACTATTGTAGATCATAGAGCACTGAATGTTTGCTTCGTCTTACTGTGGGACTCCTCAGCAGTGCGCATCTATGATCCCTCTTCTCGAGATTTTAATCCAGGACCTATCAGTCTGGCGCGTGAGCGCCTAACCATTAGACCACTGAGCCGGGATCCAACGGTGTTAATATCTAACTTCAACTAATCCACGAGATTGAGCAACACATCGAATCTCAGGAGGTGGGATCGTGGATGCGCACTGCTGAGGAGTCCCATAGTAGGACGAAATGGCCGTCCGATGCTTACAGGTTTTTTACGGTGGTCTAGTTTCAATCGACTCATGATCTCAACTAATAAAATTTTTGTTAATGTTTCGAGCAATGCAGTCACTGAATACCAAATGTTAAATATATCATTCTAGCAATGTGCTTTCTAATACGACATAATTTTTTGAGATTTTTTAATAATACAATTCTGCTTGGTGCATATTCTATGAAGCTATAAACATGTACAAAATCTTTAATTAAATCTGTGGATTATAAACACTAGGAAAATTAAAAATTGCAACTGAAGAATTATTCATTTCCTATGAATACAGAGATTCTAGATGCCTAATGGACTAGTTTAGGCATACTGATTATTGATCAAATATCATTACTTGTTAGTAAAACCTAATGACTCTATATCTGACTCTAATTAGATCGTATGAATGATTGTTGTCAAAATATACATCCTGGCTATCCTCGTATAAAACTATCGACTTAACTCACGTTAGTGAATAACGGAATTAAAATAAGTCAAATATGAGAATGAATTTTTGAATGCATATATTTTTTACACTGATTGATTTGAACAAACAATCAGTGGAATGAAGCGAATAGAAGAGAGCAAAGCAAGATGACACGTGGTGTACAAGGCATGTGAACCAATTCGATTTAATCAAGCGTTCATCGTCACACAAAAATAGGCTACAGACATGTGATGAGTAGGATAAGATGTTCACACACATGCTCATATAAAATCAGTCAAGGTGGATATGTGAATAATTGACAAGGTCAAAACGTGACTCAAGAAGGATGGATAAATTGGCCTGTCCAGAAGTTAGAAGTCAGTTATGTGAGCTTAACATAGGAACCGACATTACAACCTACTTCAGTTTATACAATCGGATATTATTATTTACACTGGCTTATAAGAAACTTTTAACTTAAATCTAAGTATATAAACCCTATACTTAATAACTAATTGAACTATTTCATAAAACTTAGCAAGTTAGAATTAGTCTTCAAGGAATTCTGTTGGGTCATTTTTTTTATAGTAGTTGGTACTGAACCGTAAGGTATATCTGTTATAGTCAATGAGCTAATAATAACTACCAAATTCGAATCCACATCATCCAGCTTCAAGTTTTAAGACATTACCAATGGATTGGTCAGGGAGTAACTGACATTCTGCAAGACTCAGATATTTACAGTTGATTATGTTTTTCTAGTCCTTTAGTACTGATGAGTCTTTATTGCTATATAGTTACTAGTTTGAATGATTTGATAATCATTTTAAAGGTGTTTCATTAAATCTATGAAGTCAGATAGATTTTTAAAAAATAATCTAAATATGCTAAGAAAAGATCTAACATCAATTTTATAAAAATCTTATCAACAACTAACCTTCTAACATGTACTTCTAAACCATGTGCAGTAACAAAATACTTATTACATAAATTACACTTAAATATATTCATTGGAATATTTTCAGGATTTTGTTTAGGATCTAATATAATTTCTTCATCATCAACAACAATATCATCATCATCATCATCATCGTCATCATCATCACCACCATCATCACCATCTTCATCGTTATAACAATCAGTTTCATCAACTTCTAATTGATTATTTCCATTCATTATTTCATTATCATCACGATTATTCATCTCCTTATCTTCGTTAGAATATTTCTTTCTCTTATTATTATTATGATGATGATGTTGATCAATAATTTGTGAATTTAAATTATTTTTTATTGATTGCGATAATTTATTAAATTTTATTGATTTATTTTTTAATTTTGATTGATTTATGATTATTTGTGGATCAGATCTATTATTATTATCATGATTTCTATTTAGTTTATGAGTATTATTACTATTAACAGTAGTATTAATAGTGGTGGCAACAGTAGTATTAGTAGTAGTATGATTTTGATTATGTAATAATGTGAAATTATTTAATTGTTTATCATCATTATGATGATTATTAAAATGATTATTTAATTGTTTTTGATTGATTAATGATATATTCTCATTGATTATTGTTGTATATATCTGATTAAAATGATTTTGATTAAATAAAGAAATATTTACAGGTAAATTATGATTCATTTGTAATTGTTTAATAGTTTGATAAAATAATGAACTTAAAGTTTGTAATTCATTTGGAATAAAATTATATGGTAACATTTTTGATGTCATTAAAGTTTGCGGTGGTATTATATCTTGTGTAGTTACAGTGAATGAAGATGTTGTTGCTGTTGCAGTTGTTGTTGTTGTTGTTGTTGTGGCTACAGATGATAATGTTGGTGTATTGATCATTTGCAACCAATATTGATAAAATTGTGATGATGATGATGGTGATAATTGTGCTTGTGAAAGAATTTGATTAAAATGATTATTTTGTGAATTTGGTAAATTGATTAGATTATCTATTTCAGTAGTATTATTGTTAAGTGGAAATATAGGATATGGTTGTTGTTTAATATAAGAATTTGATAATAGTGGATTATATGATGAATTAAATAAATGATTACCATTATTATTATTATTATTATTATTATTATTATTATTATTATTATTATTATTATTATTATTATTAGATGATGGATCCATGTTTTTACTATCAAAGTTGTTTCTTAAATGAATATCAGAAGGAATCTTACAATGACTATTCATATTAGTATTATGAATTGTTATTACATTATTTGAAAATCCAGTAGTATTTTTATTATTTTCTTTTTTAAGATAAGATTGTTTTAATTTATGTTTATTGTAACGCATAGGATTTGAATTTGAACGTGATTGTTTACGTATTCGTAAATCTTTTGGTGCTAAAATGAAAAATTTGAAAAAAAATAAGGTAAATTGAATAGAATAATCATTTTGACGAAATAATTCGTTGACCCATTGTAGACTAATGTAATCAGTCAGTCAGTCAGTCAGTAACTAATGTAATGATTGAATTCATGAGTCAATTAAAGCTAGACTATTATAGAAAACTTGGAAGCACTGGGTAGTTGTTTTATCCTAGTATGGGACTTCTTAGTAGAGCGCAGTCACGATCCCATTCTTGTTCTCGCAAGCGAAAGCTTAACCTCTAAACCATGGTGATCTAGCTTTAATTGACTTATGAATTCATCCATTAAATTACTAAAGTTTTCACAAAACCTCCTTCTGATAATGTAATATAGTTACCAAGGTGGTTTACATAATTTTGAAATCAGTCAGTCAGTAACAACGTAGAACTTCGTACGTACGTACATCAGTTCGAGTTGCCACACCATATTAGCACAGAGCTACAATCGTTGATTCAAATCCCGTAGTGGTAGAGGTAGTAAAAATATAGGCAGTAATTAGAAAGATTAGGGTTTGAAGATGTTATTCAAAGAGTATAATCTAGTGAAATAAATTTGGAATGGGAAAAAAGGGGACATGAAAAATTCAGAAGATTAAAATCTGGGAGAACACAAAGAGTAGATGCACCTGCACCATTGTAATCGACTTTGAGTCACGTCACTCAAGGTCTCAAACCATCGGTTGCTATCATCTCGCGGTCCCCAACCACGTAGTCTGCACCTACCAACATGACTCAGTCCACTTGTCAGTGACTTCACGGACTCGTGCCATGTTTTGGTCTAGCCTCCCAGAGCTTTCTTCCAACCTACTCTTACACCACTGAACATCGCACGTCGAGGCAGTCAGTGCTTGGGCATACGTAACACATGTCCCAGCCATCTTAACTGATGAAGTTTCACTACTTCATCAATTTTGAAATATTTATTATTAAGAGTTAAACTATGAAATAAAAACTATGTAATTAGATTTTAGACTAGTTTTTGAATTTTGATAAGGGAAGTAATAATTTATAGAATTAACCAAGTCAAGAGTACAACAGTGATTTTTTGTCATGAACTCATATTATTTGGAAAATTATTGATATCGTATGTTGTGGGAAGTATGCATTACTGTGAGATTTTAAACAAAAATGAAACATTGAATGATCTTTGTTTTTCAATGATTCTTCAATTAATGTCAAACTATTAGAAAAACTATCTTCAAATCAAACTAATCTCTACAAACGAATTAATTTAATAAGCAAAATACAAATGATGAAAAAACAATGCTGAATATGAACACCGAAGAAGCTATAAACAACTTCATATTAGTTAATCATGTTAGTGGCCATTTTGACTTAGTAGTTCACTGGATAACGCATTGACGTTTAAAATTTGAAAAAAAATGTCTTGGATTCAGGTCTCAATATAAATATCAATGTTGAAATACTGGTACATTCAGCTAAAGAGTCTTAAACAAGATAAAACTTACGTTACAAATTCTACCGCTTCGGTTACAGACTAAATAAACCAAAGTCTTTATTTATTTTAATCATTCATAGAGTATTTTTTTATTCGTAAGCTTACGTAAAATCGTTTCTATATAATTTGAATTTCATTCAGATTATCATCTTAAAGTTTCTAATCATATTAGGCTTTTTTCATTAATCCATTTCATGTATAAGCCTTAATTCAAGTTCTTCTTATAAGAATAAATTGTCACAGTGATAATAACAATAATTTCATATGTCTTTTTTAAAAAAAGCCTTAACCTTTTTAGAAGAGTTGTTCGTATCTTTAATAAACATTTAAAAGGAAAGTAATGTATTATTGATTGAGATTATGAATCAAATGATGTTAGACTACTATTGAAAACCTGGAATCACTGAACGGTCATCCCGTCCTAGTATGAAACTCCTCAACAGTGCGAATTCACGATCTCATATACAGAATTCGAATCCAGGACCTTCAGTATCACGCACAAACGCTTAACCTGTAGACCATCGGACAGGCAATCAACGGTAAATAAGGTCTAACTTGAATCAATCCTAGATACTGAACAATCATCTTATGCTCATTAATGACTAGCTTCGAGAGGTAATTCTTGGATTTCTAACGCAAAACCATGATCAGTAGAGCTAATCCGTGTCAGATTTGAAACAGTTACTCACCGAAAATGATGGAATATGATCGCACAATTTCATGGATTGATTAAAGTTAAACTGATAAATAATTCATTCATTCATTCATATATACAGTAAATTCAATAAACAAGTATATCCTCTTTAAAAAAATAATAAATAAACTTACCATTTATATCATTTGAGCCAGACGATAGTCTTTGTTCATCATCTATCTGTTTATCATTAATCAGTTTATCATAATTAATAAATTTAGGAATAGTCAAATTCGATACAGATTGATTCATTGAAAGATGTTTAAAATGATTGTTTCTATAATGATCATTTTTCAATAATAATTTATCCGGTGTTAATACATCATATTTTGTATATTGTTCCAGTTTATTATCAATATTATTGTTTTCATGAGAGTTTTTATTTGGTCTAAAAGAATTGGATGGAAACAATGAATAAGGATCTGATTTATTATTACTATTACAATTACTATTATTATTATTATCATCACTATTATTAATTATATTGTAACTACTATATTGTTTCATTGTTTCAATATCAAATTGATGTGATAATTTTGGCCAGGTTGTTATCGAATTATTATACGCCATTAAATGATTTGAATTCAATTTCTAGGAGAAAAAAAAACAATTACAATAAATGATAACATTATTTTTTTGTCCAAAACAAAACAAACACAATCAATTTTATTGATGAAGTTAATAGGACTAAAAGTTTTATGCTCAACACCCCTTCATAAAGTCATGAATGTGTAGTGTTGAAGAGTTCCATATGAAGAAGAAATAGTTGTTTAGTGTAACCTAATTTTTAATGACTGTTCATACAAGATTAACCTTTATTCATCGCTACATAATTTCATATGAGTAAAATGATGTCGGTTATTTTGAAATATTTATTAGTCTCGTGATATCGAAGATCTATAATTTGATTATTGAATGTTTTAAAAATCTAATTATCACGTATTATAATAATCATTGGTAGGAATGATAACAACCGGGTGGTTATATATTCAAACACACTAACAACCTTCATATTTATCCGAATGTTTTTTATAGATTGACACGTTTTCCGGGTACAGGTTCAAGCTACACTCTAAGTATGAGGGTTAATGATACTATACGGTTACTTAAAACCAAACAATAAGAGTAGGACTCGAACATGCAACTTAATGGATAAAGTTTGAACATTCTAACCAATGAACCAATGCTCTACTCCATACATTATTGAAAATACTTGTATACAATGTTTCTCAAAAAAATATGAATTCTCATAGAAGACTACTGTAAACTAGAACTAGTCTCCATAGATCTTCCACTTGAATAACATACCAGACTTTACTTTTGTTTTGAAATTTTTTTTACATAGTTTTTAAAAAAAATGCTCGACAACTAGATAGTAACTATAAAATGATTTCATTGATATTGAATATTTAATTACTTAGCGATTCAATTCTTTTTTGTACTACCAAAATTTAATTTCCAATTAAATTTTCAACTTCAATTTGTTTCTCTTTTTTCATTTCATTGGGATTGTTTTAACTTAATAATTGAATTCATTAGTCTATCAAAGCTAGACCACTGAGGAGTCCTATACTAGGACGAAACAACCGTCAAATGCTTCTAGGTTTCCCATAATGCTCAAGCTTTAGTCGACTCATAAATTCAACTATTAAAATAGATATTATGTAAAATAAACAAACTAATTTGATTTACTTCTTAAAAAGAAAATATCAATACCCTTTAAATGTTAAAAACATCATTGTCATTATTATTATTGTTATTTACCTGTTATTATCTGTTGATCGTAATTATATTAACCCTAATAAACTCAAAATGGAATTTTAAATTTCAACACAACTAGGTTTTATGTTATCTTACCTGTAAGGATAAACAAAGTTGATGACAACAAACAAGAGTTAATTCCTAAGAGAATCTAACAATCCATATTCTATTAAAGTTCAAAGGAGATGTCCTAAGGATTAGTTATTTGTGTATATTAGACAAAGTTTCATAGTTAACTTAATTCAGTTATGAGTTTAATTGTCCAATTATCGATTGCTAGTGTTATAACTGACTTATTATAATAGTTTAAATGAAGTGTATTTAAACTTTCAACTAAGCTTCGAATTTCGTGAGGTGGGATCGTGGATGCGCATTGCTGAGGAATCCCACGATAGGACGAAACAGCCATCTAGTGCTTCCAGTTTTCCCATGGTGGTCTAGCTTCAATTGACTTATGACCTCAACTATTAAAGTTACTATAATATCCACAAAATCCCGTCTGATACTAAGTTTAAAAAGTCAAGTTGTCCAATGCTCAATATAATATAAATTCTCAAAATCGTCTATAATAAAAGTAAATTACAAACAACACCAGGTTACAATCACTAACTAAACCTAAAAGCTTACTATGTTTTTAGCTCTAGGTAAGAAATTTTACATTTTAAATGTGAAACATCGAAATTTGATGATACAAATTACTCAAAACATATAAATGACTACAAAGCATAAACAATTCAAATTTTGTGATTTAAAAGTGAAACCAATTAATTTTATGATTTCCAGTTAAACTATTGAGATAGGATGGTGGTTGCAAGTGGTCGACAGAAAACCCTTGATTTAGGTTTCGTGCTATTTGACACTCGTCAGTTAGGTGTACGTGTAATATTGAGGGGACTGATGCCCTCTGACGGATTCGATCCCGTGTCACACAGCTTCACAGTCAGAGACATTATCACCGAACTTTTCAGGCCACGACTTACCTTTTGTAGGACTGAGATGTATTTTACAATTGACTGATCACTGGGCGGTGATCACTGTCATGTGTATCAAGTCCCTCTTAATGCAGATCGGGTTCGATCGACCAGTTAAACTGTGCTAATACAAGTGTAATAATTACCATTATTTATTAAAACCATAACTTATGAAATACATTCCATTGGATTGTAATGAAATAATTTCACTTATTTGACATATAGTTATTGTGATAGATGTTTCCAAACCCATACTAGTATTATTAATCGACTATACAATAGTAAAAGTTAAAGAATACGTTCAGCATTAGAGATATATAGTGTAGTGAGTACATACAGTTATTTGTTATTTCATTCTCAAGTAAATAATAAGTAGTATAAGATAATTGAAAATTATAAATATCATTCTGAAGTAAATGAAATTATATGATTCATTTTATGAAACACATTGTAATAACCCAAGTTGAACCTAGTAAATAGTTAAATCTCTCATCTTATTTGGTAGAATAAATGAATCAACATCCCGAAGATTGCTATTATTATTATTGGCTTTATTCAATATTATATTTTTGATACAATATAGAATTCTCAGCATAAAGTATTTCAACAAGTTCCCTTTTGTTATTGCTTGGTCGATCCTGATGATAAATACTGAATGATTGCCAATTAAATGTTAACAGTTTAGAAATAGACATCTGAATAATATTCATTCTTTTCAATCCATATTGCCAGCCACCACGATGTCTATGAATGTGCTTTTTTTGTAATTTGTACAACAAAAGGTTTTAAATTTTTTTCATGAACGCACTTGAATATGTTATGCCATTAATAGACATAATAATGTATTAAAACAAACAATAAGATTTGTTGTAATATCTAGATGGTAGGAATAGGTAGTCCAGTTATTTAAGCAGACCACCAGACTAGCAATCATTCGTCTGCTATCCTAGTTTTATTACAACCATAGTTATAGTGTATACATGAATCTAAAAATCCATCAAGTAAGAGTGTTCTAAGAAGTTAGTTCAACTAATTCTAAATATCAGTCAGAAAATAATTATAATTCATATATAGTATCAATTTCTCAGTATCATCAAACAGAAAATAATTCAATAATCAGAGTATTGTAAACCGAGTTTTATGATTCAATTTATTTAAAATACTCTACAGAAATATTTGTCAAATATCTTCTATAGTAATATTACTGTTAAACCTCTTGAAATACAATAGTGTAAAACTGTGTTTCTATTGGATTTACCCATATTCAGTGTGATAACCAATCTATTATCTAGATGAACTAACTGGAAGATAACCAACATCAATTAGCCTGTACATATTTATTATACTGTTGAATATTATCTGTTTATTGTGCGATGTTGAACAATTTAGATTCTATCATAAAACACTTAGAAAGTAAACAAAATACTTAAGTTAGGAAAGTTATATCATAGAAAAATGCTTTATTATATCAAATAAACTATCAAGATAAAAAGAGTTGAGAAATTACAAAAAATTACGTCACACTTCAATCCATAACATTATTAATGATACTAATTTCAACGATAATATTGTTTACTTTTAATGTAGAATTATTCAACTCAATCCTTCATTATCAGAATGAGGTTTTGTGGAGATTTTAGTAATTTAATAGTTGAATTCATTAGTTAACTAAAGCTAAACTATCATGGAAAACCGGAAAGCATTGGACAGCTGTTTCGTCTTATTACGAGACTCCTCAACAGTGTTGATACGCAATAGGTCCTCAGTTCGAACCCCGTGAGCAGGATCGTGGATGAGCATTGATGATGAGTCCTGTACTAGGACGAAATGGCCGTCTAGTGTTTTCAGGTTTTCCATGGTGGTCTAGCTTTAGTTGTCTTATGAATGTAACTATCAAATCGTTTATTTTATCTGTGCATCACTTCATTATTGATTAAAACGAAACAATTGAGAATAAGACAACACTAAAACACAGTGAACATTACAATAATCTATATATAAAATATAATTTTTAACAAAAACCAACTCGAAAATAACGAATGAATGGGTTTTTTTAAGTTTTACTTACTAGGAATGTTATATCATAGAAATTTTTTATAGTCCTTGTAGTAATGGTTAACAGTCAAAGAAAAAAATATGAGATTTGAAATAATCCGTCCACTGAATTTCCAACTTCAATATCCTCTTATTGTCGTATGCTTTATTTTATTAACTACGATTGTGGTCACAAAGTATAAATACAATTGTGAAAGACAATTTGATGAATATGGGTTTATGGTGTGAGATCTTATTTTAACAAAAAAAAGAGTTAAAAGGGAGTTGTAAAATCTATACATACATATGTTTATATGTATATATATGTATATAAACATTGTACCAAAGGGAGTAGGAAGTAAATTTAAAAAATGGCTGGAATCTGCAAATGAGAAAAATCTGTTCTCATTTTTCTTTCTTTGAGTTTACTTTTTTTATGAGGAGGGGGGAGATGTTTCCAAATTTGTTGTTGTTCATCTACACATTTCGCTCACAATAATTGTTCCCTCAATATCTTTCTACATTTGTTTATGCATAGAAGCACAATAAGAGTTGTAGTAGTATTAGTATTAAAAATAGAGATTGAAATTAACTTATGGAATTTGTTTACTAGTAGAAGAAATCATACTCAATCCTTGACTTAGTTTCTCTCCCTCTCATATTGTTTCAACAAACTTGTGTGTGTATGTGTGGTTACTTTAATTATTTCGCTTCATATACACACATGCACATTAATAACTGTTCACTCATTTACTCAATCTCATCCTTTCTTTCTCTCCGTCTGTTTGACTTTAGTTGTTGAAT